GAAAGACCATGTCCCGAGAACCAGTGCATGGATGGAGAATGTCAAAAGTCTTGCGAAGAAACGACGTATAATATAACCGAATGTTGTATGTATGCAATGTTTAATGCACTTATCAGATTCATTAGTCAAGAACGGATATCATTATATTTTACTCCACTCCATTTGTGTAGTCTGCTTTTGCCCTGGGTACCTACCATTGGAAAACATGTGCTCTATGCAAAAGAAATTGTAATTGTAATTTGCGTTCAAATTAGATTCTCGGCTGAAATTAAAACTGAAAAGTTACAAGAATCTGATCTAGGCTCGTCACATCCAAGGATTCTGGCAATCAAGAAAAAGTCGACGAAATTATCGTAGGATAATTATTGTATGATTTTGAAGATCAGTCAAAGGTACAGACAAGAAATCATAGTGCTCTTAAGACAGCAGAAGCTTCATCCTGTCAAATGAGTATGTTAAGGGGCATTGTACTGCAAGTCTAACAAAGCAACGATCATTCGCACTTGATCTCTGTGTGCATGCTGAGGCATTAAGAAACGAAGTGGGTCGAAATGCGATATCAAATTGGAAATCCAAATTGTCGAGAATTGCCAGCTGTTGATGATTATACATCGCTGTTAAATTTAGAGTAAGAAATAGGACAACCGCTTTAGGATCGAATGGTGGCAAAGAAGTAGCTACACAAACCTAGAGTAATGAATACATCACTTTTTTATACTCCTGCATTAACCTATAATATATATAAACATACTTTTTGCTATTTAGGGAGCTCCAATGAATACCACAGAAAMAGTTGCATAGATGAGAATACAAAGTGCGCAAAARCAAATGGTAACATTTTACGATCTGAAACAAATCTCAGTACAAGATCAAAATTTACCTCWAAACTTATTCTTATTTGAAAGGTATCTGCGGGTTCGAAAATGGCCCTTGTGGGATGCAAAATGATGGGTGGAGATACTACACACCAACCAACACAAGCAAAAGATATGATCGTTCATTTTTAGAAGGAGGTATTTATCAATTTTGATAGTATACAGCTAACCAAAAAAATTCTACAAATTCGAAAAAAGTCTGATATATAAATGTCTTTTGTATTTCCATGAAACGATAATGACAGTTGCTATGGTACTGCATATAATATATTACAATGGCTCTCCGATTGCTTTGTCTTGAGTCGTCCATAGAGTATCGGAATAAAATATACACATTACATCTAAACCTTTC